CAACGAGTATCTACTTTTTTTTTAATGTATTTGTACAGATTGAACAACCATAATTGCGCAATAAAATTTGCTTATAAAAAAGTGAAGATGCCTGCATTTCCTTTTTTGGGGGACAAGCAACGTGAAATTTATTAAAACATAGCTCTTAATTTCAATTATATCAAAATAGAAATATTTCATGTTATGAAAATTTTTCGATTAAAAAATTTCTTGAAGAACTATGATAGCAAAATACATGTGACCATGTTTCTTAATATTTTGAAACAAATAGCACTTTTATTTAAAAGATATAAACCCTCCTGAAACTTACGTTTAGATTCCATTGTCAACATTTTTCAGTTATAAAATTCGCAGACATATGATTAAGGTGACCTTTAAATAAACAAATATTTTCAAAGTAAGTTTTTAAAAATAGTTATAATTAAAAATAAACATTTGTGCCTTCTTACTTTTCATTGTTAGGTTGCATTCAAGTTTAAAATGAACGAGATATTTTGTATGATAAGAGTAAAACAACAATATAGCACTTATAAAGGGGGAATTCGAAGAGTCGAGTCATAATTTATATTTTATTCAAACATTCTTTTACACTTTGAGATCGCTATGTCTCCTTAAGATAATGCGTCTGTGTAAAACATTTATACTGGCCAATCATGTGTTTTAAAACTGGGGTCATTTTAGATATTTAAAGTTGTGTAATTAACTATACGTTACAACCATGTAAGCAATGTAAAGATTTAATAAAATCTAAATTAGCAGAGATATGAAACGTAGAAACCATTAATTTGACAAATATATAAGACCGTGGTCAGCAATAAATTTAAACTGTAATTAAATGTGATTATAGCAACACGAACTATAGACATAAAGTTATGTTATTAATGAACATAAAGCGATTAATTTGGGCTTGACACAAACTGCTGTCTGACTGCTCGTCAATTAGTTATGGTTCAATCCGAATTCCTCAATGCAAAATAAACTTGACATTTTGGTTAATTTACTTCATATAAACTTCACTGATTTATTCTTCTGATCTTAAAGATGAAGACTTAAGGTAATGACACCTTGAATACCTTGTACTCAGAACAATCGTTAACATTTTGCTAGCTGAAGGCATATTAGAACGATTGAAATTTATATCAAAATAAAATTAAATCTTGAGCCAATTTAAAAAAAAAATTACAGAACACAATTTTCCTAAATTGTTGTCTAGCTTCTATCAGAAACGCATTAATAATCTAGAAATAATGAAAGTTAATAAGGCACTCTGCAGAGAATGCACTATGATTTTACAAGTATATGCAAAATTCAAATTCATGATGGTCGGTATTTAGGGAACTTTAAATAATTTAATAATTTTACTGTTTTCGTTCGATCAGATTCAACTTTGATTGGTGTCTGAATAAATATAATTTCCAGGCGGCAATCATCATACATTTAATTACATTAAACTGGTGCTAATTGGAACGAGTACTGTTACAGATGCCCCCCCCCCCCCCACACACACACACACATACACGAACAATTGTGGATTTAAAAAAAAGTACCAGAGGACAAAAAAGAACAAGATGCGTGCTTATCGCCAAGACAACTCTTAACTGAAAAGATATGCAACAATACCTTATTAGAAACATACCTGAATGTCAACCTTTTTTATGTGTACAAGTAACACACGCTTTCAAAAATGGACCGTGAATATTACAAGTTTTATCCATAAAATCAGTAGAAACAAAGCTTTTTAACAATCTGGGAAAAAAAAATTAATGACAACAAGAGGCCCATGGGTCACATCGCTCATCTGAGCACATTGGCTAGGCAAAAGCACAAATCAAGATTACCGGGAGGGGGGGGTTGAATTTTAAACTACCTGATGATGCTTCCATGTCAAAATAACAAATGGCTTTGTTGTACTTGAGAAGATTTTAAAAAAAAAATTCCCATATATTCCTTTGTAAAAATTTGATCCCCCATTGTGGCTCATCCCTATCCCAGGGGTGATCATTTAAACAAACTTGAATATACACTACCTGAGGATGCTTCCATATCAATAGGACTAAACATAGCTTTTCTGTTCTTGAGAAGAAATATTTTTCTATATGTTCTTATGTAAAACTTTCAATCCTTCATTGTGGCCCCGCCCTACCCTCGGGGGTCATCATTTGTACAAATTTGAATCTACACTACCTGAGGATGCTTCCATATCAATATGACTGAACATAGCTTTTCTGTTCTTGAGAAGAAATATTTTTTCTATATGTTCTTATGTAAAACTTTCGATCCCTCTATTGGGCCCCACCCTACCCCCGGGGGTCATCATTTGAACAAACTTGAATCTACACTACCTGAGGTTGCTTCCATATCAATATGTCTAAACATAGCTTTTCTGTTCTTGAGAAGAAATATTTTTTCTATATATTCTTATGTAAAAGTTTCGATCCCCTTATTGGGCCCCACCCTACCCCCGGGGGTCATCATTTGAACAAAATTGAATTTACACTACCTGAAGATACTTCCATATCAATATGACTAAACATAGCTTTTCTGTTCTTGAGAAGAAATATTTTTTCTAAATGTTCTTCTGTAAAACTTTCGATCCCCCTATTGGGCCCTACCCTACCCCCGGGGGTCATCATTTGAACAAAATAGAATTTACACTACCTGAGGATGCTTCCATATCAAAATGACTAATCATGGCTTTGCAGTTCTTCATCAGAAGAAATCTTCCTATATATTTCTATTGCAGACTTTGATCATCCATTGTGGCCCCACCCTATCCCAGGGGGTCAACATTTGAACAAACTTGAATCTACACTACCTGAGGATACTTCCACATAAGTTTGATCAATCAGGGCTTTGCTGTTCATGAGAAGAAGATTTTTAAAGATTTTTCCTGTATATTTCTATGTAAAACTTTGATCCACCATTGTGGCCCCGCCCTACCCCCAGGGGGTCATGATTTGAATAAATTTGAATCTACCCTACCTAAGGATGCTTCCATATAAATATGACCAATTAGGGCTTTGCTGTTATTGAAAAGAAGATTTTTAAAGATTTACCCCTATATATTTCTATGTAAAACTTTGATCCTCCATTGTGGCCCTGCCCTATCCCCGAGGGTCATGATTTGAATAAACTTGAATCTACACTACCTGAGGATGCTTCCATATAAATATGACTCATCACGGCTTTGCCGTTCTTGAGAAGAAGATTTTTGAATGTTTTTCCCATATATTTCTATGTAAAACTTTGATCCTCCACTGTGGCCCTGCCCTACCCCCGGGGGTCATGATTTGGACAAACTTCAATCTACACTACCTGAGGATGTTTCATATAAATATGACCAATTAGGGCTTTGCCGTTCTTGAGAAGAAGATTTTTGAAGATTTTTCCTATATATTTCTATGTAAAACTTTGATCCTCCATTGTGGCCCCGCCCTACCCCCGGGGGTGATGATTTGAACAAACTTGAATCTACACTACCTGAGGATGCTTCCACATGAGTTTCATCTTTCCTGGCTTTGTGGTTCTTGAGATGAAGATTTTTAAAAGATGCTATTAATTTTTCACTAATTCTTTATTATCTCCCCTTAAAAGAGGGCGTGGCCCTTGATTTGAATAAACTTGAATCCCCTTCACCCAAGGATACTTTGTGGCAAGTTTGGTTGAAATTGGCCCAGTGGTTCTTGAGAAGAGGTCGAAAATGTAAAAAGTTTACAGACAGACGGACAGACAGACGGACCACAGACAAAATGTGATCAGAAAAGCTCACTTGAGCCTTCGGCTCAGGTGAGCTAAAAATGTTATTGTTGAAAAAAGAGGGAAACAACGAAAAAAGTCGACTACAGTTTGGATTCGAGATATAATGTTACCGGAGTAGGTGAGTCCTTACTCCTAACGTAACATGTATTACTTAGTGTATTCCCTGTAACTACAACTGTATGAAATACCATAAAAAATATTGTGCAAATATCGCAAAATTCGCACGAAAAAAATACCAAACATCATTTTAATGATAAAATCTTATATTCAAGCTGAAAAATGTGAGAAAATAATTTAGATAGACACGCTAACCCTATTGTAATATTATTGGAAATAATGTGTTTTATGCATTCATATGTATTTTTCCATTTATGTGTTTAGAATTTAGCTATTGAAGAATATGTATGTATATCTCAGGTTTCGGAGTTATCCCATGTTATGTAACGCATTGTCTCAGGTTTCGGGTATATTGCGGTGTTTAGACAATTATTAACGTACAAAGCTATCACGTGATCACTATCACTGTTAGATGCTGCAAGTGTTGTGCACGCCTTAATTTGTAAGGAAAACATAGCGATTATTGATCTTGATCAACGACTTATAATTACTTTATTAGCGGTACTTGAAGACTTATATGCACGGTGATATTACATGTAAGTGTTGATATTTGTTTTTTACAAATCGGTGGTAACGATCTATCTTTCGACACCCTCGCAAAGATTGTAAGGAATATCATTTCTTTTACTAACTTTCTGATTCACGGTGCGGGTGTACAACACGTAATTGTTGGTCAACTTCTCCGACGTGACCCTCGAAAATCGCCACCAGGATATAGCGATGGTGTTATTGAGATAAATCATCTTTTGAACACTGCGTCTGCATCATTACCAAATGTGACATTTTGGAAACACCGGGGTTTTTGGACTAACCTTCATTACCTGGGGCCTGATGGAGTTCATCTATCTACAAAATCATGCAGTACCGATCCAGTACCCATGGTCAAATACCTTAATAGTATCAAATATGCAGTGGTGAACACTTGCAGGAGGCTAAGGCCAGTATAAATGAATTTGAAGTAGTATATAAAAACATGTAGGCCTATATAGATATATGTATAGGATGTGAGTGAAATAGAGTAAGATAAGAGAGAGATACTTAGAGTTAATAATAAATTAAAAATAATAAATTTAAAAAAAAAATGCATTAAATTTTGTATTATATGAGAACTTGCAGTACATTATTCTAAGTTTTCCATGTTACTGTCTCAAAGTTATTGGTTCGCAATGTGAACTAACAGTGCATGTTGTCTAAGTTTTTCATGCCACTGTTTCTAAGTTATTGGTTCTCAATGTGAACTAGCAGTACATGATGTCTAAGTTTTCCATGTTACTGTCTCAAAGTTATTGGTTCGCAATGTGAACTAACAGTGCATGATGTCTAAGTTTTTCATGTCACTGTTTCTAAGTTATTGGTTCTCAATGTGAACTAGCAGTACATGATGTCTAAGTTTTCCATGTTACTGTCTCAAAGTTATTGGTTCTCAGTGTGAACTAACAGTGCATGATGTCTAAGTTTTTCATGTCACTGTTTTTAAGTTATTGGTTCGCAGTGTGAACTATCAGTACATGATGTCTAAGTCATGTCATTGTCTCAAGGCTATTACCTATCTATGTGAACTACTATCCTCAAAGTAAATCATATGTTATTATTTACAAGTAAGTAAAGTAAAATTATTAGTATGTGAGTCTCAAAGTCGCCTAAGTCAACTATCAATACATGATTACGAGCAATGCATGGCTTTGTCTTTTATTAAAATTTTTAATTAATCAGTATAGAGTAACAGATTTATTTGATCACTGTTACTTATGTCTAAGAATATTTAAAGTCTTTAATGTTTTTCAAGCCATGGTTGATAAAATCATATTTATCAAGTATTCAATTATGAAAGGTCATTATCTGAAATTTGGTGATGCCTTTCTATAGAACATCAGAAAGTATCAGAAGTTGTATTATAGATACACACAATTCTAGAATTTGCTCGTTCAGTTTCAACCATGCCAAAGAAACGGCCAGCCACAGACGATACCCCGAGAAGAGGAAAGAGAGTAAGAAATCAGAGTGAAGTGTCAAAATCTGTGGAACATCCATCGGTTCAGATCGATTATGAAAAACTGGCAGCCGAAATCTTAAAGCAACAAGATAGTGACAAATCTCCCATCACCAATGCTGTACAAGCGGCTCCTCAAGACATGCAAGTGGCAGATAAAACTCTTTCCACCGAATCCAGTGTGCAGGATGCTGGACCTTCTTCAGATGCTACAAGCAATATAATGGTTACTTAATCAAATATTGAGTTCAGGTGAGCCAGCAACACCAAAAATAGCACACAGCATCTCCCTCACTGATGGGATCCCTCTCGGTGCAACAGTAGCACAGCGCATAAAACAAAAAAATCTGGGAAGATCAGTATTTAGATTTGCGCGTGATGCTGTAGCAACGAGAGGATCCAGTATCTTTAAATATTGCTGCTGGATCAGTTACAATACAGCAAAATGCAACAAAGCCAAAAACACCCCTGTCCATTAATCAGTGGACAGATGCGTTTTTGATTTTCACAGCAATCTATCTGGAAAAATCTCCAAGCCAAGCCCCGCACTTGTTAAAATATTGTTTTTTCATAAGGGAAATGCATAAAATGTTAGGAGAAAAGGCTTGGAGAATATATGACGAAAATTTTAGACAGTTAAAAGAAACAGTTAATATCCCCTGGCAAAAACCCATTGAAGAACTTAGGGTGAAAGCTGCTACGGGTACCTATGTTAATAATACAGCCCAACAGCCCTTTCGGAAAATGGCAAGCAAAACGCAAGTCCGTTTCTGCTATGCCTTTAACAATGGGGAACGATGCTCAAATGACCAATGCCCCTACTCTCATACATGCCAAACATGCTATGGAAACCATGCAAGAACAAGTTGTCGAGGGGGTAGAAGAAATCAATCATCAAATATCAAATCCAAAGCTACAGCAACCACTGGGGGGTCTTCTGCTTCCAACACCAGTCAACCCAAACAAATTAAGTGAATTTCTAGTTCATTATGATAGGTCTCTTTCAGATTTTTTAGAGCAGGGTTTTAAACAAGGTTTTCGACTAGGTTGTGTTGCAGACCCCAACATATCCGAGATGTCAAAAAATCATAAATCAACAAGGGAACACCCAAATATTATCAATGAATACATTGATATAGGTCTAAAAAAAAAAAGGTTAGAATTGCTGGACCATTCCTTACACTCCCGTTAGATCACTTTATTGTATCACCCCTAGGTTTAGTGCCGAAAGGTAATTCAGGTAACTTCAGAATAATCCATGACTTGTCTTTCCCAAAAGATCAATCCGTGAATGCCAACATTCCAAAAGAGCTCTCTGCTGTGCACTATGATTCAATTGATAATGTTGTCTTTTTGGTTCAAAAATTTGGTCAAAATAGTTTAATGGCAAAATCTGACATCGAAGATGCCTTTAGAATAGTTCCAATTCACCCTCTAGATCATCATCTATTAGGTTTCCAGTGGGAAAATTCATTTTATTATATGTGTTTACCAATGGGTGCAAGTAGCAGTTGTCAAATTTTTGAAACATTGAGTTGTGCGCTACAGTGGATAATGGAAAATGTCTTTAAAGCAGCAGGAGTCTCTCATATCCTGAATGATTTTTTCTTTGTTGGCCCACCCAACTTATCAAAGTGTAGGGATGATCTAGTCAGTTTCTTATTCTTGTGCAAGCAAATTGGAATTCCCATTAAGATGCAAAAAACGCAGACTCCTACAACAAAAATCATTATTTATGAGATAGAAGTAGATACTGTGACAATGGAATGCAGACTTCCATATGAAAAAGTTGTCAAATTAGAGAAATACTAGATCAATTAAAAAAGTGCAAAAAGGTCTCATTAAAAGGATTACAGTCAGCCATAGGTCTTCTAAACTTCGCGTGTGGGGTAGTAGTACCTGGAAGAGCCTTTTTAAGACGTTTAATCAATCTCACATGTGGTTTTGATGAGTTAAGTTAGATAAAGAAGCTAGAGCTGACTTAGCTACCTGGTCATATTTCATTGATCACTTTAATGGAAAGTCCGTTTTCCTAAATAAAGAATGGATGTCTTCTGAACATCTAAATCTGCAAACTGATGCCTCAGTGTCACACGGTTTTGCAGCAGTGTTGGGTTCGAAATGGTTTGCGGAAAGGTGGCCTGATGCCCCAATACAGTATCAATTATGCATCAAAGAACTTTTTCCAATTGTGATTGCATTAGAATTATGGGGGCATGAACTTAAAAACAAAAAACTATTGTTCCTATCTGACAATATGGCAGTAGTAGATATCATAAATAAACAGTCATCTAGAGAACATAATCTCATGAAACTGTTACGTCGGCTTGTACTAGTGTCAATGCAGTGCAATATTCATTTTAGAGCTAAACATGTTTCAGGAAAATCTAATGTACTTGCTGACAGACTCTCTCGTTTAAAATTTCAGGAGGCTTTCAGGGAAGCCCCATTCTTAGACAAACAACCAACCCATGTTCCATGCCAGCTTTTGCACATTTAACTCCAATGGCTCGCAATCTAAAACAGGCTTCTCTCAACCCTGCGACATAAAAAGCATACCTACATACATGGAACATGTTGCAGCATTGGTCACCAACAACACTTGATCTCCCATTAAAGATATCCACTATTTGTAATTTTTTGGCTCACCTTTATGAGAACAAATATTCACCTAGCACATTGGCATCACATGTTTCGGCCATTTCATTCTTTCATAAAATTTGGAATTTGCCAGATCCATTTCAGAATTTTCTTGTTCAGAAATTGTTAAAAGGATGTCAAAAATCAGGTCAGGTAACAGACTCAAGACTACCAATAACAGGGGAAATCATCATAAAACTTGTGAATGCTATTCGTCATACATGTTCTACTTGGAATCATCGAATTCTTTTGAGAGCATTGTTTCTTACAGCATTTTTTTTGGATTTTTTTAGATTAGGAGAATTAATTGTAAGGACACCTCAATCTATGAATCAAGTGTTGCAAAGGTCAGACATTTATCTTGAAATTGTAACAAGGAAAACAGGGGAAATCATCATAAAACTTGTGGATGCTATTCGTCATACATGTTCTACTTGGAATCATCGAATTCTTTTGAGAGCATTGTTTCTTACAGCATTTTTTGGATTTTTTTAGATTAGGAGAATTAATTGTAAGGACACCTCAATCTATGAATCAACTGTTGCAAAGGTCAGACATTTATTTTGAAACAGTAAAGGGGAAATTGAATAGTGTAAGTTTAATTTTGCGTCACACTAAAACTATGCAATCTGATCAGTCCGTTACCATTTGCCTAGATGCCCAGTCTGAAAAAGAACTTTGCCCAGTGTTTGCTCTTTTTGATTACTTGTGCCAATTTAAACATTCAAAAGGGCCCCTTTTTCAATTTATTGATGGCACTCCAGTTTCACATTCATTTGTTTCAAAACATTTAAAAGCAAGTATTACATTCATCGGTTTGAATCCAAAATTGTACAAAGGTCATAGTTTTCGTATTGGGGCAGCAACTCATGCAGCTAGGTTGGGTTTCTCTGAAAATGCAATTCAACGTATGGGTAGATGGAAATCTGATGCAGTCAAGAGATATATAAGGACAGGATCTTTTACTCTTTCTCTCCAGTAGTCTGTCCTTTCCTAGCATTTGTTGGATAAGGTATGGTCTGCCATCCTCTCTCCATTATAACGGTATAACTTAAACATCCTCTTGCATAGGTTGTCCTGCGGTCAATCTTAGATGGGTCAGATTATGTCTGCCATCTTAATGAAGGTTGTCCCTAGATGAGCTATAAATGAGTCAGATTATGTCTGCCATCTTCATGTAGGCTGTCCCTAGATTAGCTATAAATGGGTCAGATTATGTCTGCCATCTTCATGTACATGTAGATTGTCCCTAGATCAGATTTAGTGGGTCAGATTATGTCTGCCACCCCCCACCCCCACCCCCAATACATTATCACTGAGTCAATTTTAGAGGGGTCAGGTTATCATATACATGTATCTTTTGTTGAATGCAATAAAGTATTAGGGAGTAAACGATATTTTTTTTAGTATGAAATAAAGGACTCAGACATATGGAATGTGTACTTTGAAGTATTTGGATAGGTGAAATACTGTCTGCTTTGTAATTAGGTTTAGGAAATCCATTGTAGTTAACCTTTACTGATATGTTTGTTTTGTTACAGTTATGTATATATTTTGAACCCTTGTACTGGAAATATTGTATCATTTATGCAATTTAATGTGGTAAGATGAAGGATGTTGCTGGCCACCATTTAGTATTCAAGTATACAGAACTATCTGTCATCTTTCATTATAACATATTGTATTAAGGGAACTCCTATGTTGTACATGTATGCGAGTTGTTTCCCTTGTGTGGCGGAAAATCCAATGTAGTTGGATTTTTGGTGGCCTATTGTTTGTTGCCACCTCAATTTATTTATATCTATATCT